TTTAATTTATTATATTTTGTGATTACTAGCATTTTTTGTTTCATCTTACCAGTTATTATTTTTGACTATTCTGTTTTCTTTTATTCTTTACCATTTTGACTGTGACTTCTGTTTTCTCCTTTAATTTCTTTTCTTAAACTTATCTCTAAAGGAACAGCGTGGTTTATCTAATCATGAATCGACCCAGTTGTCAAATTTAGGACTTCTAGTTGTTTCTGCATGTCCCAATCACTGATCATAACATAAAATAGCTCATTTAATAATCATTATTATTGTAGCAGTTTATTTTGATAACAATAAATATATCTATGTTAAAACTCAATTGGCTGATAGAATTCAAAGTTAAGGATATAAAGGAAATTTTCATTCCAATTTACAATTAGAATACTTCCTTGTATTTGAAAATGAGTAGTTACTTATTGACAATAAATCCAGATATGTCTTGTTCATAATCCTGATGTTGATATTCTAAGTAAACTCATTGCTGACCTATGAGAACCATATGATCAGTGATCACTCCTCAGATTAATGATGCCAGAAATAATATAGAATCACCCATTTGGCTAAAGGCCAGTGCAGAAGACAAATTGCAGGTTTTGGCCAACTATTAAGGCTATAGCTTTATTTTAATCCATTTTGGGAAAAGGTTTTCTAGAATTCTGTCCCTTCCATAGGTTTTTTTCTTTTGGTAACATTATTGTATTATGAAGTAAGAGTGACCATAGGTATTAAAAAGTATTCTTCAGTGTAATTTAAAATTTTATTTTTTAATCATAGAGTGTTCAAGGAAGCAAAATTTTAACCAAGAAATTTTTAGCTGACAGCAAGGAAAGTGTCGTTTTGTATGACAATAGCAATTTTCAGGTATGTATGATTTTTATTTTGAAGGGTGGGTTGGTTAATATGTCTGCCTAAAGTTTGGAAATTTTTTCTATTAATTCCAAATTTATTATGTGATACTTCCTTATTCTGGGAAATTGCTTAGACCAGTCAATACCTTTGTAAAGAATACATTTCTTTTTTTCTCAAATATGCTGTCTTTATCACACTCAGAAGACAGTATTCACTAATCAATAGGTGAATATCCCCTGTGAGTTTTTCTACGATTTCCAGCTATTCTGCTCATTCTTGCTTAGGACTCAAATGATTAATGGAACATGTTTATAAGCCTTTTGAACAAACGGCAAAACTGATTATGACCATATAACAGGATAAGACTCACTGCAGTAAGTGGTGATTAGCTGCATGCGTACTCATGTCTTCAGTATCACAAGAATGTTTCCAACTAAGTTTATCAAGTAATAAGCATTATTAGATGGAAAGGAAATAGTGATTGAAAGAAAAAGAGTCATGACACTTATATAACTGGTTTATTAATGCCCTGAACTTTATGGGTAACAGGAAATTTTTTTATTTTTTAATTTATTTTCTTTATTTTTCTTTTAGTTCTTGATGATATCTTCAGTGGTGAATGCCACATAGTAGAGAGAATTAGGGCTCAAAAACAATTCAAACCCCTTTTCTGGTGAGCTAATTGGATTATATATGATTCTATGTGCCTCCCTATTTCCTCTATACAGTCAGAGAATATGTACTCTTCTTTGGAGAGGGCTGTAATGTTTTTCATGTGGTCACTGTTTTACTGCCATTTCTGTAGCACTTGTCAAATACTTGTCCTTATGTATGGTTGATCATTTTCTTCCTCACTATCCTAAGTCATATGATTTACATTCACTGTTTTATCTACAGGACCTAGACCAGTGACTGTCACTTAAAATAATCAAATCAACAAGTGACATTTTCTAGATTGGAAATCCATTTGCATTTTCTAGATTGTGTTAGGACACCTTGCGCCTATCACATATTTTGAGTTTTAGTACCTGCCTTTTCCAGTGTATTCTGCTATAGTTTTATAACACAGGATTGATTATGTTACTCATGTCTCGACAAAATTAATAACTCCTTCTACCAAACACAATGAAGTCAGAGTGCCTAACTCAAACTCATTACCTGGTCTCAGCTGTATTTTGTTTCCTCCCATTATAATTACTCTTCGTGTAAGCCCCATACACCCTATAGTTTGTCTGTACCTTTCCTGTATCAGAGTCCTTGTGGACTAAGATTGCTGTCACTTTGACATTTCTCAGTGCCTGTTGAGACTGTTCCCTTTGTTCTCAACCCCTTCACAGTCTGTGGAAAGGCTGCTGCCTTCACACAACAGCTCTAATGCTACCTCTTCTTGCTGCTCTATCTGGGTTCCTACCTGTTCAAAATTCACCTCTCTGCCCTGCATTTTTTTTTTGCACCTGATTCATGTCATTTTTATAGACACTGCCACAGTTGCTTTGGTTCAGAGATATATCTTTACTGCTGTTTTCACTATCACATTGAGGGCATGAAACTTAGCCCTTTCTTTGTACTTTTCAGTCTGGAATGGTATCGCTTTCCTATTCTTTTAAGGTAATAGCACCTGTCTTGGTGCCATTATAGTACGTGGTCTTATTTGTGTGTGTTCCCTGAAGTACAAGGTCAGCTCATGATAGAGGTAACTGTTTATTGGCCCATTCACACAGACCTGCGCCACTGATATTAGCTGGAAAGCTTTGCACCATAGCATGGTGAACATTAACAGGTGCTTGATGTTTGTTATTTCAGGTTGAATTTTAAAAATAGGATAATTTTCATTATTATGTTGCTAAGTTAATTGGTGGATTTCAGGTTCTATTTTTCTCTATGAAGCTAGTGATTTCAAAATCAGTAAGAAACTACATTTTAATTTTTCTTCTATATTTCACTAATTTACATAAATAGTTATCATTAGCAAACTGTCACGATATTTTAGTTTACCAAGCAGTGCTCTAGTTAATGTGTATTTCTCATTTGATTATTTTACAGTCTTTCTTACTAAGAAAATGTCTGTCATTTGAAAATATCCAACATTTAAGTGCACCATCCATACAACTGAAGGTTTTGTAACTTTTCAATTTTTACTGCCCCAAAGAAATATTTATATTT